AAGATCTCTTGAAGTATCTAAAGGTTCATCTATACATAATAAAGTAAAATTGGTTTAGTCGACCCTGCCAATCTACCCGTCTTTTGTATATGATAATAAGCCTCTGATGCATACCCCGGGACACCATGCCCCAACTCTAACATACATGATATTATTGAAGTAATTTTTAATATATAAATTTCCCTTTTTAGAAGCTGCTTTGAGTGCAAAATCAAATAAACATGCTCTTACACTCTAAGAAAATTTACATTGAGAATTGTTTTGAAAAAGGAGTGCATCTGTTGATGTTTTACAGTTGATCAATATGAATGCTAGCAACAAATACTTTATTACAAGATTACATATGTCAATTTAATTGATGTATTAAGCTCTTATTTTTAATAATTTTTTTAACAGATTCTGTTTATAATTTGATCTATAAATTTCCATTTATACATCTAATTTAAAATTCAAGAGAGTCCCACCATCAACTATAATTTCTGTACCAGTTACCCAACTACTAGCACGTGAAGATAAGTATATTGCTGCACCAGCCATATCAGCTTCATTTCCAACACGACCTAAAAAGTTTTGTTAGATTAAGGCAAAAATATGACATATTCAATAACTTTGGATATACCTTGAGGAATGTCAGAGATGATTGTGTCAATTAATTCATAATATATATCCTTTACAGGAATGACACCAGGTGCAAGAATATTAACATTTACTCCTCGTGAACTGCTTGCAAAAAAAAACTTTAGAAAAAAATCAAAATTTATAATAAAATATAAAAAATTTTAAAGATTATGTACGCAAGATGAATTGCTAAATTCTTTGCAACACCATGTACAGCATGTTTTGAAGAAGAATAAGGTAGAGTACATGATCCACGTTTTTGTGCAACCTTTAGATCACCATGGCCAATGCCTAATGGTATAAAGACAATTGATATATTAGGATAATCAAATAATTTGTTTTTAGAAATTAATTACCATTAATGCTTCCAGTTATGATCACTCTTGATGGATCAATGGGTTTATTGCTAGCTTTTTCAAGCAGTGGTAAACAGCTATAATATGAAAAAAATTTTAATATTTAGTTTAGTATATACTGTCATAAGCCTTATATACTAATAAAAATTTCTTACGCAATTGTCAAGTAAAATACACTCTTAACATGTAAGTTATACATATTATCCCATGCTTCTTCAGGAAAATCTGTCAAAGTAGCCTTATAACCCACTATACCAGCATTATTTACAAGAATATCAAGTTTTCCATTTTCTAATTTTTCAATTTCTGAAGCTAGCTTTTCGCATGCTTCTTTAGAAATTAAATTCGTTTCGATGCTATAGCATACACCAGGGCCCATTTTTGTTAATTCTTTGGCAGCTTAAAAAAATTATTTCAATCAGTTCAATTATTTAATATTTTGACATCGCAATAATAATAATATCGAATTACTTTGCTCAAGATGTTTTTTATTTCTTGATGCGATATAAACTCTGGCTTCATTTTTAACAAATGCTTTTGCAATCATTTTACCAATTCCTGTGCCGCCGCCTGTAATCAATGCTGTTTTACCCTTTATAGAGAATAAATTTGTAATTAATAAGTCGTCATCCATAATTAATTTCTTTGAAGACAAATTTTTTTCCTTTATGTAGGGTCTTTGCAGTAGAAAAGGCCTAAATACTATAAATATTATATAGCATTTAGACTCCCGTATTTACGCAACGTGAGGCTTAGACATTTTCTAATACCAGGAATGTAGATCCTTTTATGGTTATGCCTTTACCTAAGAACTCGTGGCTAGGGACGTTAACAATCCAGTCTGGTCTATTTTGGTTCAGATCTGGTGTGGCCTATTATAGTCTCTATTCTTAAGGCTTTTTTAGTCCAGACCAGTCCAGACTGGTCCAGTCTTAAGACTTAGAGCATACCAATTTTCTAAGACCAGATCACATAACATCCCTACGTTAGCATAAAGATCTTTATTCAATATAAAATCCAATATAATCTTGTAATACAAATGTATATTTTTTTATAATTGTTCGGATTTCTCAGATTTCTCAGATCGACAACCTTTACATTCATTTTGAGCAATACTTCGTTCCAGATTGATGCAAGTTTTTAACATGTATATCAAATAATTTCCACCTGACAAATTTTCAAGGTACTGTATTCGATATTGTGTTCTTTTATATTAAAGTAAAAGTCACTTATAGGGATGTTATGGGTCTGGGCTTAGACTAATGGACCACAGCTAGTCTTAAGACCAGTTTGAACTCGAAAAAAATTGGCCTGCTCTAAGTCTTAAGACTGGACCAGCCTGGACTATCAAAGTCTTAAGAATAGAGGCCATAATAGACCAGACTGGACCAGACTGGATTATTAACATCCCTAGTCACGGATAAGGAAGGATGTTAAACTGCTGAACTGAAACGATCTG